CTCGGGTAACACTCGGGGGAGGAAGGGGGAGAAGATGACGAAAGGGAGCAGAATCGTGACGAGGAGGAGAAGGAGGTTTCTAGGGGGCGCCGTGGGGCCTCCCACAATCTGCGCTGATGCATTGCGTTGTTCGACTTCGCCGCGGCCGCCTTCCGGCCATTGGGAGCTCCTGGCGGTTCTCGCGAAGGGGCGTGGTCTCCGCCTGGGTCGCCGGCGGGGCTCCCCGAGGTCCGCGCGCACTTCGTGCCAGGCGCTCCTTTGTGTGCGGCACCCGCCTGGAAACGCGGGGCGAGGCGATCAGAAAAGAGTTGTCGGTGCAGAGCGAGGGGGGGGGAATAGTGAAAAGGAGGAGGCCTTCTCAGAAGGCGGGGGAACTTCTCAGATGCCCTCGGGCCTTCAGAGAAGTTTTCTGCGTCTTCGGGGAAGACTCAGAAAACCTCTCAGAAGGCCAGGGGACTTCCGAGCCTTCTGAGGAGGCCCGCCCCTCCTCACTTCCCCCCCGCGCGCGCCGCCTGAGTTGGACGCGCCATGAGCGCCTTGCGAAGCCGTGCCCCAGACCCGGGGCTTTGCGCTGGCTTTTTGTCGGGCCCTCTCGTCCCCTCTCGCCGCGCTTGCGGCCTGCTGTTTTGAGGACTGCCTGGAGCTGAGGTTTGACGTCAGCCCACCACCGAAAAGGAATTGAATGCGCGGGCCCCCGTGGCAGGCGCACCCTGCGAGCAGGGCCAGAGCAGCGGCGTTGAACAGGTAGCTGGGCGCTCAACAGAACTCCAGGACGTTGGGGAAGCGCGTGGTCGTCGAGCACGCCCCTCGCTGCAGGCGACCAGGAGTCTGCTGCGCACTGCGCCCCTGCGCAGGCACCGCGAGCCAGCGCGTCCTGCGCGCGCAACTGGCCAGAGAAGCGGGGGCGAGGCTCTCCGACGACACGATGCGGGTTTGTATCGGACGGGCCTGGAATCGAGATAAATCTGTTCCAGAGAGTTCCGAAACGCTCTCGAAGCGTTCCGGAACGCTTTGAAACGGCCGCGACATCCTCCAAGCCCGCCGATTCTCAGAGATGTTCCATTTATATCTGTCCGATTTCGTCTCGATTCTACCTTCGTCTTACTGTAGCTTACTAGTATCGGCGTCAACCCAACATACTTATACTATATGTGCGTCGCCCCCCAGGGGCGCCGCGCGCACCGAGAAATCTTATGATATATGCGTCGTGGCGGGCGCTTTCTGGCCACACCGCTCGGGAAGCGATATCCTACAAGATGGGTGCACTATATGTTCGGGTCGGACGCGCGCCTCCGAGGAGGACATTTAGTATTAGTACGTCTCTGTGCGTCCCATATTAGTGGGAGGAGCTTGATGGGCGGCCCCTGAGCGCCACGGCTCGACAGTTCCTCGGCCTCCCGCCCGAAGTGTTCCGGATCTGGGCCGGCACGTGCCCTTGCGGGCCCGTGGACCTCGGCACGGCGGCCAGCTGCACTGTCAGCACGGCCGCATCACTGCGCAACGCTAGCTGCCTCCCCGTGGGGCCGCAGCTCGATGTAGCAGTCACATACCCGCGCTGCTCGCTAGCGTACCAGCGGGCGCCCCGCGCGAGCACTCGCCGCGCGGGTGGCGGAGGACGAGGAGGAGGAGGACGCGGCGCCGTGCCTCGGCGCCGTGCCTCGGCGCCGTGCTCGAGGTCTTGGACGCGGCGCCGTGCCTCGGCGAGGCCATCTCCGACGTGCGAATCCCGAGACACGATCGCGTCGTAAACACAGGAATCACGACAGGAGGCGTTCGGCCTTCGGCTGCCCTCGCCGGACCCTGGGACCGTCAAGAAACGACTCAGGATGAAGAAAAGTCGGGAAAAGTCGGAGGTTGATAGACCTCCTAGCCTGACACGTCGATTCGCGAATTGGCCGTTTTCAGTTCGCGAGAGGGCGTCGCGGCCATCATTGTTGCGGGTCCAGGTCCGCCGGTTTCGGTCCTAGGCCGTTTTCATTAAAAGGTGGTTTACTAAAGGGAGGTTTTTGTCCACCGCCGAAAAAGCGAGCCCCGGGGAAAAGATCGGGACTTCCGGGGACCGCGCATGGACACAGATCAGGACGTCGCGCGTGTGGGTGTCGTTCTCCACGGGCGGGCCCGTCGTCGGGCGATCTCCTGCTGGGCGCCCTGCAGCATCTGACGGGGGCGAACCGAATCTCACTCGCGCAAGCGGTGCAAGGAAGTGGAGGGTTTCTTCGGAGGGGTTTAGGCGACCCGTGCTCCTCCTCCTCCTCCTCCTCCTCCTCCTCGTCCTCCGCCTCGTCCCTCCTCCTCGTCCTCCGCCTCGTCCTCCTCCTCCTCCTCCTCCTCCTCCTCCTCCTCCTCCTCCTCCTCCTCCTCCTCCTCCTCCTCCTCCTCCTCTATATATCTCTTCCTCCACCTCCTCCTCCTCCTCCTCCTCCTCCCTCCTCCCTCCTCCTCCTCCTCCTCCTCCTGCTCCTCCTCCTCCTCCATCTCCTCCTCCCCCTCGCCTTCCTCCACCTCCCCCTCCTCCACCTCCTCCTCCTCCCCCTACTCGGGTCGCCTACGGCCCTGAGGGAAACCGTGCACAAGGAAGGCCGCGCTGCCTCGAGGCAGCGCTTGCACGAACGCGAGCGAGCGGCTTCTCTGGGGGCTGGGAGGCCTGGGTTTAGCAACGGGCATGGCCCTCTACAGGAGGGGGGACGATTTTCTTACCTTGTTTTGCCATGTGTGAGTATTTTGTTAGCCTACTTTTGATTTTTCGTCTAAAATCCGCCTGTGGGGGGACATGCCCGACCTAAGCCTGGGTCTGCGGAGTCCTTGGACGCCCGATCATCCGCTTGCTCCACGGAAGGCCGCGGCCGCGCCCGCGGGGATCGTGCCCAGGCTTGACCGCGCGCAAGCGGAGCCCCAGACGGGGGCGCCGACTTGCCAGAACCGGCTGGTCGGCCGAGGAACACGCGGACCGCCTTGCTAGCAGCCTCTGGATGAGCAGGGCGCGCGCACGCCGCCATGTGCGCGCTGGGGCGACAAGGAACGCCGCCACGGCTGCCTCGAGGAAGGGGTGGCTGGCATGATCCGTCCGGCGTCGGACGCACCATCTGCCCCTGACAGCCAGCGAATGCCAGCCTGAGACCGCGTCGACAACCAGCGGCGTGGGGATTCGCCAGACGCGTACCTCGTCTTGCGTGTGGTCTTGGACGCCGAGTAAAAACCAACCACGGGGCTGGCAGGCACTGGATCGACGCGTCGGTCCGCAATCTGCCGACTACACGTAAGAGTGACCCTTCGCTAGAGTGACCCTTGATACTGGCCCCAGGGAGTCGGGTGATTTTCTTGTGGAGTGAGCTTGACTTCGCGTCGGCACGCGTAATTATCGCGCGATTGCGCTCGCATCTGAGCGCGCCAGGTTTGGGCCCCCCTTTTTCAATTGACAGCAGCGAACACGCGGCGCACCCTGCATTTTGCAGTGGTTCCCCGAGGAGGTCTGGTCGACTGGCCGACGAGTTTTTTCCGCCACAGGACGAGTCCCGAATCCCTGCCCGAATCTTTTGGAATCTCTTTGAATCTGTGCTCGACCAACTGGGGGACCTTTACAAGTACAAGGTATCCACATTTTCCCAAACATACCATGCGATCGCAAACATGGATTCAAGGGGGCGTGGATTAGCGACCGGTCCCGTTCCCATGGGAAATCGCGGATTTGCGCCGCCGAGCGAGGCTGCACCGGCCGCACTTTGGGGAGGGCACCTCCCCCGATCCATGGATTTGGCGACCGCGCTCCTAATCCATGGATCGCTATTCCGTGCTTGCGCGCCCCCGAACATATATTCTCAAGAGCTTCCAGGCCCGTGGGTGGAGCCTCTTCTGGCCATGGCGCCAGACTTGGTCAGACGTCATCGCGACGCCGCCTGGTCAGTGCCAGACCTCCTCTTGGTGGCCCCAGGCAGCGCGTGCTTTCGCAGCGCTTTCGGAGTGCCATTTAGAGCGTTCGGATCCAATTGGCGGAATTCCGCGGCTGCTTCCCGGCACCAAATAATCTAGCATGTTCTCGGGGTGGAAGGCAAAGGGTGAAATCTGAAATGCCGTTTCGATGAATGTTCGAGGTTTGAATCTGCAAAAGGTGAATCACAAGACGGATTGGAAGTCGAGGCGCAAAAGCCCAAATGGATTTCACCCTGAGCTTTCCACCCTGAGGAAATCATCAGAAAATCCGAGTGGCGTCTCGACGATCGGTGATGCGGCGCGGCAGTATTGGCTTGCGCGGTTGCGTTGGGCCCCCGCGGGCGGCCCTGAAGCCGCGCACCACATGTCTCCTACATGTAGTCCGGCGGCCGAAGTCGCGTCGCTGGTACCAGCGCGAGTGGCTGGCGAGGCTGGCAGGAGGAGTGAACTCCAGAAACACGCGAGGTACCCAGAAGACACACTGACGCATCTTGTGGTGAAGCCAGACAGTGGCCTTTGCGGCAGACTATGCGTTACCTTGCTTGCCTGCCGGCAGCCTAGCGAGCAGGTGTGGGCGCACATGGACGCCAGCAGCGCTGGGCAGGCATAGTTGGCCCTGCAGCGCCGCCAGGGCGCCAGTCTGACGTAACGTGCTCTCCCCATCGGACTCGTTATCCGCCTTCTGTCCGTTGGCGTTCTGGCTGCCTCGCGTTTGCTGTGCCTCTTTCCGCCCCCCGCTCCTCCCCGATTTGATTCCTCCCCCCCCTTTCCAGATCCTTGCCTCGGGCGAGCGCACGCCTTGCGGCCGCATTCCCGTCTCTTTCGTCGTCTGGTTAGTTTTTGCTTCCTCCGCCCCCCCATATCCTTCTCTCCTCTCTCGCCCTTTTTGCCGCCGCGTTGCGGACTGTCACCTTTCGCCAGGGCGCAGAGAAAAGCCCTGTCGGACGGGTGCTCTCCCCATAGTGGTGTGCCCATGAAGTTCGGACGACGAGCTCGGGTGCGGGGGAACAGGGTTGGAGGAGCAGAAGGAAAGTGGGGAGGGAGAGTAGGGGGAAGTGGAACGGGGGAAGGAGATGGAGAAGTGGATCAGGTATTGTGATAATGTTGTCCCCTCCCCCCCTCGCGCCGCGTCCCCCTACAGTCCCATTTCGATCCCTTCCATTGTCTTTCCTGGTTGTCCGGTTTTGGCGAGCGCCAAGGCTTGACGGCCGTGAGAGCAGGCTCTGGACCGATCCTATCATGCGCCGTGGTGTTGTCGATACGGACAGGGCCCCGGGTTGCGGTTTGGGCTTGAGTTTCCCAAATTTGTCTTACCTGTGTTTTTGGGACCATATTCGGGCAGTTTGGCTCAACAGGGGCCCGAACAGCTCTGATGATCGACGGCTCCGTGTGGCAAGACCTTACACTTCTTCCTAGTTCTTCACCTCCTAGGTCTTTCCTCGTTCTCGTCCTCGTCGTTCTTGCCTCCCGTCCCGCCCTCCTTCATCCGTCCTCTTACCCGCACATCTCACCTTCTTCGTCTCCTTTCCCCCCTTCCCTTCCCACGCCCTCTCCCGCCGTTTTTCTTCCCTCTCCCTCTCACGACCTTTCTCTCCCCCTCCCCCTTCACCTCCTGCAGCTGCCTTCCCCTAGCTCTTCGTCTCTCCCCCATTCGTCCCTGCCTCTCCCCTCCCCCCTCCCTGCGACTCCCCCGTCCACTCCGACCCTCCTCCGCCCGGTATCTACCAGCCCCTTCCCTGGAGGCTTTCAGCGGTCACACCGAGAGGGCCCCCTCTCCCCCTTGGGAATGAAGCGAGAAGAGCACATGTAATCGAGGAGAGGAGGAGGAGGAGGAGGAGGAGGAGGACGAAGAAGAAGAAGAAGAGGAAAAACAAGAAGAATAATAAGACGAATAGTAAGAAGAAGAAGATGAAGAAGATGAAGAAGAAGAAAAAGAGGAGGAGGAGGAGGACGAGGAGGAGGAGGAGTAGGAGGAGCAGGAGCAGGAGCAGGAGCAGGAGGAGGAGGAGGACAAGGAGGAGGAGTTGCACCGCCCCCAGACCTCGGGCGCCCAGGTTTTCTGCGAAAGACGACCGGGTGCCGCCAGAGGTGCCCCTGGCCCAAGGAGGCGACCAGGATCTCCAGGAGGCCCCCACAGCCTCCGGAGGACCCCCCCACGATACCCAGAGGGCCCCAGGGGCTCCAAAGTGGAGCGAAAAGTTGGGGGGCACCTTGAGCCATGGGCACATTTAGCAACCCCCGGCACGAGCCCCCGACTTCTGGAGCACTGACTTCCAAGGGAGTGTTTTTTTATCCCGAAGTTTTCGAGACGTCGGATTTCTGTGTCTGTCACCGCCGCCGTTGTGTACTTCTTCTCTCCTGGTGCTTCAGGCCACCGTTACTCTCCGTAATGTCCTAGCTTTCGCTTTTCCTTAGCGGCGCTGGCCTCTTGGGAGGGGCAGGGCTTCGATGTTCAGCCTGACACTGCCCGCAGCATTGAGGCATCGAAGAGGAGGAGGAGGAGGAGGAGGAGGAGGAGGAGGAGGAGGAGGAGGGAAGGAAGGAAGACAGGAAGGAAGGAAGGAACAAAGCAAAACAGGAAGGAAGGAAGGAGGAGGAGGAGCAGTATCGAGGGAGGAGGAGGAGGAGGAGGAGGAGGAGGAGGAGGAGGAGGAGGAGGAGGAGCATCGAGGAGGAGGACGAAGAAGCTGGTAGGCGCCTCGTAGTGGGGGGGTCAATACAAGGAGTAGGGTCGACGTTCGACGGCAGCATTGACGCAGGAGTGGAGCGAGTGGTTCCAGGAAGGTGCCCAGAATGAGCACCTAACCCTTGCCAGCAGAGGAGTCGCCGGAGCCCCTCCAGCTGTGCATCTCCTGCCCGACGCGGGAGGGCTACGACGTCGCCGTGAGGGCCAGCCGCCGTCCGCCCCCCCCCCCCCGCTGCCGGTGGTCCGGCGCGCCGCGCACGCGCGAGCTGCTGTCGCTCGCAGGCGATTCCTCCCTCCCACCCCCCGAACTCCGCCCGAAAAGTTTGGCCGGTTCGAAGAGCAGGGGGGAGACCCTCGGGTTTACCCCCAGGGGGCTATTTATTCGGACGCACCCCCAGCGTATATCCCAGCGTATATCCCAGGCTTGGGCCCCCCCAGCGTATATGCCAGCGTATATCCCAGGCTTGGGCCCCCCCAGGATGGACGCCCCCCCAGCGTATATCCCAGGCTTGGGCCCCAAATTGTTGGTGCAGTCGAAGATCTCCAAAAGCCTTTGTGCTGGGGGTCAACACATTCCCTGTTGGTCACGACTGGACCCTCCCCCCGTCGTCAAGTCGCGACGGAAAGGGGGGGGAGGTTCGAGGTTCTGCGTTCGGGAAGGTTTTTTTTTTTTTCTGCTTGCGGGGTCCGTTTTCGGGCCCCAGAGCCTTCAAAAGCGGATCCGGGTTGAAACACTCAGGAGATGTCTGGGGATAGATTTGGAGCGGATTTGGCCTCGTCATTCCCTTCTGTAGGATTCTCGGGGGTCCCAACCAGTTCAGCCCCCCTTGGCCGCCGACGGGTAATTAGGCTCAGGGGCAAAGAGGGGTGGATAGGCTCAGGGGTGGAAACATCGAGCTGGAAACGTCGTTTCATCGCCGATTCCAGCTCGATGTTTCCACTCCTCCTTTCCTTCCTCGTCCTTCCCCTCCTCAGAATGCTCTGGGTTTCCCCTCAGGTGCACCTCGCGCGCTGGTTTTCAGGGCTGGGTTTCTTGCGAAGGTTTCTTGCGGCCGCGCCCGCACTGTAACCTCCGTAGCTTCTTTGAGGCTTGCCAGTCTCGAGATGCGCTCCTGCCACTGCGCCCAGGACCGAGAGCGTTCCGGACATGCCCAGATCGTCCCGAACGGTTGCCGGAGACCCGAGTTAGGACCCGAAAGCTGGACGACGAGGATCAACTGTTCACGGTCAGGATCGAAGAGCAACAACGACAAAAACAAATATACGTTCGGAGGTCCGCGTGGGTTATTTGAATCGGCGTTGGGCCTCCCTCCCTGGCGCGTGGAGTGTACCAGGGGCTTCGCCAAAATGACAGAAGAAGAAACAATTGCATACTGATGTAAGTATAGACGCTTCGCGTTACCCCATACCCAGAAACGATGCCCAGCCGAGTTGCCTTGATCAGGGATGCAGAGGAGCATACAGTGGAACCAAGGGTTGGGGGAGCCGATGTACCCCAAGACGGGTAGGATGGACGAGGACTCTGAGGAAGGGCAGGGGGAGGGGAGGGGGGCGGGACGGAGGAAGGACGAGGAGGACTCGGTGAATGAGGAAGAGGAGGATGACGAGGAGGAGGAGGAGGAGGAGGAGGTGGAGGAGGGCGAGCAGAATTGCCAGAGGCCTCTTCGATGCCTCTCGGAGTCTCTTCGGATGTTTCTTGAGAGCTTCTCTGAGTTCCCTTGGAGCGTCCTGGGGGACTCTTGGCGGTCCTGTGGGCATCTTTGAGCGTCTTGTGTGCTTCGGGGGAGCCTTTTGGGGGTCTCTTGGGAGTCTTCTGGGGGCCTCTTGGGGACTCTTGGGCGCCTCTTGGGCACCTCTTGGGGCTCTCTTGGGGTACTCTTGGGAGCGTTGGGGGCCATCTTGGGGCCATCTTGGAGGAGCTCGATCAAAGAAGGGGTGGGGGCATAGATGGTCGCCTCCGCAGGAGGCCGACATGGGCCCAACACCCAAGTTACCTCCATGATTTTTGCCTTCTCGCAGACGCCATCTTGGACGCTCCAATCGGTCGCGAAACCCCCCGTCCAGGTCGGGGGAGGAGATATGGGAGAGGGGTTCTAAATTAGGGGGGTTCTGAATTAGGCCTCCCCACTTCTAGAGGGCAATCTGTGACCCACACCTTAGTAAACACTGGATGCTTGTTGCCTACTCGTCGAGGCCTTTTCCGCTCCAATCGGTCGCGGCCCGCCCCGTCCAGATCCAGGGGAGGGGTTGGGGGAGGGGTCAAGACACCCCCCCCGCCTGGAAGCTGCCTGGCTCACTTCCGCCCGCCCTCCCTACGCATAAGTAGCCCCCGAGCCTCAGCATGTTCAGCGGACGTCTACGGATGGCCAGCTACTGGAAACCAAAGCAGAATCCATGTGCGCGACGCTATGGCGAGGTGCGCCATGCGTGCCAGGCGCGCGAGGTGCGCCAAGCACCCCTGGAGCCCAAGCGTGCCGTGCAGGCCTGGCGCGCCGGATGCGGCACGTGCTCCACGTGCGCGATGCGCAACGCATGGTCCAGCCGCGCCGGGTGCGCCACGTTCGGGGCACGCGCAGACTGCGCCAGGTGCACCCGCGCACGTGATAGCACGCATCGTGAACATGGCGTCCCCCACCATCCCTGTCGAAAGGCACAATCGTGGCGGGGAGGCCATCATGGTGTCTGGTGGGCCTGTACACACACACACACCAGGCAATATATCAACACCTCCGCCGTCTTTTTCAAAAACCAATGGACAACGATCGCGGGATGGCCGCGCATGATCCACATTTAGCCGTGAAGTGTATGTTCATTGTTTTGTGACAGGGGTGGTGGTCTTGCGCGTAGCAGGTAGTATGATATTGCAAAGTGCTCGTGGATCCCACGACCATGACCCAATCTTCTGTCCCGAAGTGTATTTGGCATTGTTTTTTGAAAGGGGCTGTGGGGGGAGGGAATTGTCATCGTTCCTGGTTGCCTGCCGGTCGCCTGGGGAGGGGTGTGTATCAACAATGAACAGTGATACCTCCCCCCCAGGGAAGAAGGGGGTTGGAAGAAGAAGAAGAAGAAGCGCTCTCAAACACTCACACCATGAAGGGTTGGTGGGATTTCGTGGTCCACGCGGATTCCTTGAATCGGCGCTGGATCTATTGGGCCCACGACAGTTTATGCTGTTGCAGATTCCATTATTCTACAACTGGGGGTCTCGAGCGCCCGGGCCCCACCGAGCTCTCAACGCCCTCCTATGAGAGACCCTTCTGGTGGTGTCTTCGGGATTTGGAGACGATTGTTTTGGGACACCCGAGGTTGGGGGGGGCCGGGGGTTTATTATGCCACAGTCGATGATCTTCAGGACGTGCGTTGGCTAAAAAAACGGTGGGCCAGTTCCACCGATCTAGCATTACACCGCCTTCGTCGCATTGAAGGGCCTCGATGGACAAACACACGTTGGTGCTAATACACGTTCTGGGTATCATCGAAGCAAGCGGGGTGCATAGCTCCTCCTGCTCCCCCCTCCCCTCTCTCCTCTGCCTTCTCCTTCCAGTTCCTTCCCCCTCCCACCCTCCTCCTCTCCATGTGTGTAAACGGCTTGCCGCATGCTCAAGGGAGGGGGGGGAGGAGAGCGATGGGGGAGCAGGAGAGGGACCGAGGGTCGAAGGGCCGAAGCTCCGAGGCTCAAGCTTGTGGACGCGTGGGGGGTCGAGGTCCGGGCCTCCAGGAGCCGAGAGGCTTCCGGGGAGGGCCCGAGGGCCTCCTGGGGGCCTCCGCACACCTCCCGAGGGAGGAGCGCGTGGGCGGGTTTCTCTTTCTCGTTCGCGGGCTCGGAGGCGTGTTTGGATTCTCGTGGAGGTTTCGGGGAGTCACTGGAGACGGTGGGAGGAGCATCAGCAGCAGGAGAGGGGCCCGCTGTAGAAAAAGAAGTGGCGCATGAGGCTCCACCATCGTCACGAGCATCATGGGCTCTGCGGTGCGATTGCGGAACCAAGAATGCGACGCTTTTCATGTGTGTACCAAAGAGGCGCACAAGCGCTTGGCATCGATCGGACATGTGCATTGTTTCGTCGGGGACCATCGAGGAGCATCCCGTGTCATCTCGCGAACAAATCAACGCACGAAACCGAACAGTGCACAGGGAATGGGCGTCCGAGCGATGGCAAGATCGCGGACATTTTGAAATCGTGACAAGCAGTGGGTCATGCAAAGGCGGTGTACCATCATCATGCAGTAGAGGTGCTACGAACGATCTGTCAGGAGGAGCGTTTGTCCACTGAGCGCGCAGCACTTCGCACCCTCCTCCTTCCCCGCGTGAAGGAGACGGAGGAGCTCATGAGGCGCGTCTACCAGGAGCGGGGCATGGAAGATGTCATCACATTCCTTCCACCGTATGCGCGTCCCTCCTTGGGTGCATACTGTTGCCCTCTCCCCTGGAGCAGAAGCAAACACTGGCATGGTATACCATATTGAATCAGCGCGTATAGACGGCGAGGCGAAACCCTGGCGTAGCCATTCAATTGCACGTTTGCATGCAGCCACTGGTGTATGCAAAGACATGGATGCGGCGGTAGAAACCCGGGCTTCCGATACCGCAATTAAGTTGAGTTGTATGTCTAGCGCCGCAGTGGAATGTTTTGGACGTATGCCATGCAAGGCAAGTTTCGACCACAGTGTGCCATCTTGGAGGTCACATCGGCCTATACGGCAACATCCTGGAGCCACCTGGGGCCTTCTTGGACCCTTGTGGGTGCAATTCCGACCCAGCAGTGCCAATCCCATGGGCACCTAAACCCGGTTGTATGCGATGCGGAAATCACAAGTAACCATCCTGGCAGTTGTTACACACGAGCAAACATTGCATAAAGTATGACGCTATGCAGGGCCCTCGAGGTTATTTGACCTGCTGTGCTGTGATTTCAGTGCACGTTCTTAGTTTCCATTTTATCCGGCCATCTTGTACACAGCGGAGATATAAGAAGCATGTGTTGTCTGTCTTGCGAATGTATGTGTTCATCGTGTGTGTTCCTGTGCATGGATATGCTCAAAGATTTTCCAGGACCTGCAACTATTCCCGTGGACATCCGATAGCCATCCACTGCGTTTTAATGATCCACTACGTTTTCAACTTACTCGATACCCTAGACAAAACCTTGATGGCTTTCACAGACTTGTTAAGGGTTCGATGAACTCAGCAAGAATATCCGAGGTCGTCATTCGACCCTGGACGACATGAACGTATGCTCGAGGCTTCAGCAAACATGTGGAATCGCCAAGGACATAGAAGGACCCTCAGAGGTACTCGGATCCTCACAGGTCCCTCAGTGACCTTGACGTGTCCTTACGTCCATGATTGTCACAGACCTTGTATGATCATCAGTGATCTGCTAATCTTGAAGGACCCTGAGGGGACTTCAGCAACCCCCAAGGGCCTTCAAGAACCTTGCAGAACCCCGAACCCCTCTCCGATAAGCAGGAACCTCATTTATCTTTAAGCCCATCTGAGCTTCCAAAACCGTTGCAGGAGTCTCTCAAAAGCCTTTGCGGAGCTTAGGGTCAGCCTCGCACCAGTCTATCTCAGTGCCTATCTCAGGCACCTCTCGGACTCCCGTCAGAACAGTCTCGCCTCGCAGAAGTCTTTCATAAGCTTCTCAGCAGCCTCAGGGAATCCTCTCGCATGAGCTTTTCAGAGCGCCGCCCCCCCCCCCAAAGCATCGCGCAACCCTCCCATGAGTGCCTGGTCTCTTGGCAAAGGCTTCCTACAAGTATTCACTGGCTTACGCCGCGCCGCCGACCCTTAGGCGGCATGGGAAACAGGGTTCATCGAGCTCCGCGGGGTACAGTCGGACTTCATTGGACAGGACACGCGAGAGGACACCAGACCCTTCCGAGGGTCACATTGCCAAAGGACTGCAGGAGGCACGGGTCGCGAGACACAGGACACAAAGGTACCCTTGATTTGGCAGGGTCGACCTACTAATCCTGGCCGATTGTAGAGCATGGGCATTGGAGCTCCCCTGGGCGCCTTTTGGATACCCCTTTGGGGCATCTCGGGATGTCTTGGTGACCTCTTGGGGCCCGTTTGGGGCCTCGCCAGGGCCTCCTGGAAGCGCCTTGGGCCGCCTTCGGGCGCCCTGGAGCAGTCGGGCGCCTTCGGAGGCCGTTCTGGGGTGCATCTCTGCGGCTGTCTGGGTGGCTTCTTGGGCCGCCTCAGGGCCCTCTTTCGCCATCTTGGGGATTTCTGGGGTCGTCTTTGGGCAGTCTTTGGGCCCTCTTTGGGGCTCTTCGGCCGTCTTGGGGCGATCCTGGGGCCTCTTGGGCCGTCCTGGACGCTGTTAAGACCAAACGGTCGAAAACGTATTCTCAGCATATGGAGGCAAACGCGGCACCATGTGTTCAAATGCAAGCAGTGGGGTAAATCTCCGAACATTCCCAGAATGAGCCGGGGAACGTTCCAGGAAAGTCCTGAATTGTTTGGTATTCCAGGCAGTTTCGTATGTTCACTGTCTCTGAGCTTCATGGCGGCTCAAGCTCACGTTCAGACGAGGTGTTTCCTAGTGTGGCGTCCATGTCCATAGCCCCAGACTGTACTGGGTCGGTCGAATCTGCCCATATTGTTTACAGATATTTAGGCTACCCATTTCTGTTGATGCATGGCTGCTTATTAACAGCATTGATCGTTTTAGGTGTGAGGCACTGTTGCGCAACATTTCGTTCGTTTTGCATGGCAGCCTGTTCTTTCAGTTGTGACAAACTTCGTCGCATATTTCACTTTCGATGTGCAATTGAGCAAGACAGGAGGCTTCAAACACAAGTTGACGAAGTCCAGAAACACTATTTCTTCACGTTCGGGAGCGTACATGTTGTGGGACAGTTGCTCATCAGTGTGTTCTGCCACATCAGCTCTGCGAGTGCCAAGCAGAGCGTGCATCTACATCATGGGTGGTGCACCAATGGAATGGTAACTCGTTATGTTGACGTTGCCCCCATGTACATATCCGCCGCAGCCATGGTGCTAATGCTTGGCGTGTTGCCGAAGTCAGCGTCGACGGCTTGGTTGAACGCGTTGAACATCACGTCATCCTTGAGCGTCATTTTCTTTGTTGTGGTGCCAGATCGTATTCGTGGGTTTAATGTCGCAGTCGGCGACGGTCAATTTCGTGCAGCATTGATATTCCAGGTTTCCCAATCATGGGTTTGTGGTAATCCAGAGTTGAGTTCCGTTCTATTATTTTTTCTTATAGTTTTGAAAGCAATTCAGGAGTATGCATTCTCTTCGGATTATTTTGCATTTGTGGTGTTGGCCTTGTATGCGCTCTTTAGTCTGATCGCGTTGTGGAGTTTGGATTCGTGCATGAGGTACATGGCCGCGGTGTATGCGCGAGAGGCGGACGCCACGAAGCATGCGTCTCTCATCGAGCGTCTCATGTCTAAGTCGTGCGATGCGTGCATTTTTTTGGGGCATCGTTTGGAGATTATCAAGGGTGCCGATCAACTATGCAGTCTGCTGATGTGCCAGAGTGGCCCCGAAAGTTTCAATGGCAGGGTATTCACGGAGTTTGCGACGGAAGATGAGAAACCCAGGGTATCAGATTTTATGGCAAGGCCGTCGGAGGCCGATGACGCCGAGCAGGATACCCAGGCCGGCCTTTTTTCCACAAAGCTTCGTGACACACTTGGTATCACTGTCAAAGTGCAGATCTGTCACGCTTGCTTAGGAAGCGGGGACGACCTTATCCACGTGATCGGCATCAACGAGGAGCAAGATGAGTGGAACACGCAACGCGTATACCGGAGCGACCTCGCTGTGCGATGTCTTGCGATGGGCGCGGAAGGAGCAGGCCACGCACTCGACTCGCTGGGGCCAGGCCTTGATGGGTCCGACAGATCAGAGTCCGACTCCTTCGACGACGACTATGGTGCCACCTCTGTAGCAGGCACATGTCACTCTGAGATTCACGTGGCCTTTCATCTGTTCGCTGTTAGCGGGGAAGACTCTTTTCCGATCACGTCATGCAGCCCTGCTTTCTCGGTCCTCTTTGGCAGCCTCGAGCCCGGTACGCCACTTCGTTCTTTTTTCACGCAGAGGGATTTCAACATCTTTGAAAAGTGGGTGACAGATGCCGTGGTCGCAGATGCCGAGATCGCAGGGCCACCGTTTCAAGAGGGGGCTCCGAGAAGCAGGTGGCTGTCACTCCGCCTCCGCAACTTGAACCGCCTGGGCGTGGATCTCAAGGCTCGCTGCTCCCTGGCGCCTTACGGGGACGATGCCGCTACCATGCGCTTGATGTTGCTCGATGTCCAGTGGCTCGCCCTGCCGCGGGCGCAGCGCACCGCCAGGGCATCCAGTAGACGGGACGGCGGTAGCCGCAGAAGCTCGTTTGGAACGCCTAGCGGTCCCCCGGCCAGTACCCTCGGGAGTCAATTGCAGCATCTTTAGCCTCCTCCGTGGTACTTCATTAGGTTTCATGCAGTTTGCAATCGTGCTGGCACGCTGTGAATACTTGAAGAGTCCAATGGACGGAGCCCAATGGATGCGAGTGGAACCAGAGCTGGTCCCAGATGGCTTCCAGACGGCTCCTGCACTGCCCAACCCTATCGTGTTAGGGGCATTGAGACGCTTAGCATCTGTGGAACACGTCTCCACAGTTCTTCAAATTCTCTCCTCTCTTCATCTCGCGGCATTGCGCCTCTGCTGCCTTTTCATCATCGCCATTTGCTGTAACGAGTTGGCGCGTAGCTTTGGTGCGCGAGCTGTGTGCGCATGCCGCCCCCTGACGACCCCGACGGCCCTTCCAGACGACTGCCTACGCCGCCGCCCCAGGGGAGGGCGTTGGCACTCGTCGGCCAGAAGTCGGGGGTCCGCGCGCGGCTAGGGCACACCAGAAGAGGAGGGGCAACGAGAGGGGGGAGGCCGCGGAGGGGCGTTGAGAGGAGGGAGGCCTCAGGCGTAGAGGGTCCACACATTAACACACACCGCCTTCTTATTGGAGAGCTTCTTGCGTCAAGTTTATGTTAAATGTATGGCCCTCTTGGAATACCGAAGGCCAAAGAGAGACCCAAGAAAACCCCAAGAGAGATGCTTGTGTAGCTTCCACGCGGGGGGTTACCATGTATCCGCCGTTTGTGCAAATGCTTCCTCCTGCAGGGCTCGGTTTGAGGCTCGGATGGCCTTCAGGAGGGTTCCAACCTGAGGTATCCAAAAATTTCGCGTGAGCTTCGAGTGCGGTCGCACTGCTCCAAGACGGCTCCGAGACGCCTCCAAAAGCGCCCTACGACGCTCACAATGATTTCAAAACGGCTAAGGAGACCCTGCAGACGCCCTTCGAGGGGCTCCAAGAGGATCTCCTCGGGGGCTCCACGATGCCAGAACCATAACCCTGCGCGGGCGATGATAATACCCAGGGGATAATAAAGTTCATGGGTCTGGCGGGGATGCCAATGGATTTTTCCGGGAAGGTAAGTTATGATGATGATGTTGACGATGCCCATGATGATGGTGATTATGGGCGCTCGGCACAAGATTGACTCGAGAGATCTCGATGCTCGTGGCTCTACAATTTGCCAACAGGCGTTCGGCACAAGACTGATTCGAGAGATGTCGGGGCTCGTTGCTATACAATGTGCCAGCAAGCGATCGGCACATGACTCACTCGAGAGACCTCGAGACTCGTGCCTACAACTTGCCAGCGCAAGAGAGGTCCTTGGCCGTTCTGGCTAAGAAACCTCTCTTGCGCTGGACTTCGAAGCATTCCCCCATGCAGGCCACGGCATCCTTTGGAACCGTCCCTGCATGGGAGACACTTGGTACACGCTTGGACGGCAGCGCTTGCCCCCTCGAAGGTGGCAAACTTCGGCTCGGCCGCCGTGGGGTCCTTGCAAGGCTTGGACTTGTGCTTGGCCTTGGCCTTGGCCTTGGCAAATCGTTGTCGCTGGCCTCTCTGAGCTTGTTGATCCACTTGTTGCCTCGGGCGCACATCGTGTTGATGCTCACGGGCGTTTGGCGGTCCTCGCCTCGGATCTCGCGCAGTGCGCGATCGATCCAACGACTCGCCCACAGGCCGCAGGACCAACAGCCGGCTTGGAACATCACGTTGCTCGGTGCAAGGCAGCTCTTGCCAGGGCCAATAGCGCCGAGCTTGCGCAGGATTTTCGTGGCGGCCTTGGGAGGCCACATGCGGGCCCGACCCACGACTTCTAAGGAGGAGGGCGGGGTTAACTGCGTTCGGCCGTTCCAGAGCAAAGTGAACCCCACCCCCCCCTCAGAAATCGCGGGGTCCAGGTGTGAGGTCGCATGTGGCCCTTCTGGGCCTGCTTGACGTTCTCGGGCGGCTGCTTGGGGGCGTCGCGGTACTCCACCGTGACGCCCCCGCCGATCCGCCAGACCTTGGCGGGCGTTGCTACAAGTGCCCCCTGCACAGGGTGCCTCCATGATTCGCTCCTAAAAGGGAACAGAAACATGGAGGCACTTTGGTGCGGGGGCAATTGTAGCAACCATCGACCTTGAGGTACGCGTAGTGCGCGGGCGCCTAGGGGTGCACGCAGATCAGGACGTGCTGGGCCTTCTCGACTCTCTCGGCCCAGCGCTTCTGCTCCTCGGGCTGCTGGGCGGCGGGTTCGTCCTCGCCCTGGCCCTCTCGAGCCCGGGCGACGGCCACCGTGGGCTCGACCGCCAGAACGGTCTCGGGGACGCCCGCGCGCTGCTCGATCTCGCCCAGCAGCGCGCACACTGTGCCCAGCTCGAGGGCGTCGCTCTTGATGATCTGCTCGCAGTGCATGATCGCGTACTCCTTGGCGAGCTCGGTGCGGCGACACAGTCTGGTCTGGCGCCAGTCGAGCTTGCGCTGCTTGGAAGACTTGTAGTCCTGCTCGATCGTGACCTGTGGCGCTCGGGGTTTACAGGCACTCGATAGCTTCCGCCTGCTTCCGCTACGGGTCGCTTCCGCCAGCTTTCCGCCAACTTCCGCGGCTTCCGCCGTCGCTTCCGCCGTTTCCGCTAGCTCCCGCTTGTTGCCGCCGCCGCAGTCGGAAGCAGGCGGGAACTAACGGGTGCCTGTGAGCCCCCCAGCTTCGCTGCTGTCGATCTGGAAGATCGCCGCGGTCTCCACCTCGAGGATGCGCAGGTGGCGCGCGTCCTCGGTGCCCAGGACTCGCCAGGCGCCCCGCACTCTGCCGCGCCTGCCCTCGCGGGCGCCCTCCTCGGTGACGCGCGCCACCTTGCCGTGCCAGGGGGGTTCCTCGCAATCCTCGAGGCCTGCATTCTTCTTGGCCGTCGCTTGCTTCTTGGCGCGCTTCTCCGCCTGCTGCTTCTGCTTGAACTTCTTTTTCAGAAGCTCGCCTGCACCGTCGGCGGCCTACCTGTGAGCTTCGCCTTGGCCACGCCTCGGCTCAGGTGCTCGAGCGAGGCCTCGCCGCCAGTCTGGGCCTTCTCGTGCCGCCACTTTCGCGCGCGCTTGCCCAGGAACTGGCCCGCGAATTTGGGCGCCCACCTGTTCTTGCGAGTTGCTGCCCGTTTCAGCTTGATTCGGCCCTCGAACTGGATCTCCTTGATCCGCTCTTCTGGCGTTCTGAGCATGTCTTTCTGCTCGTCGGTGAGCTCGAGTCCCAGTTCTCGGAGATCCAGGAAACGCAGGGTTCTCGTCCTACTCGTAGTCCCTGGGCAGTTCCCGTCGAGGGCGCTCCACTCGGGCACGGGCGGCGCGCCCTCGGGCCAGCTCTGCATGCCTTTCCGGCGCCCCTCGCCAGGCTGTTCTCGACGCCGCGGCCGGGCTCGATGGAGTAGCTCCACGGCTCCATGCCCGCGACGACCTTGAGCTCGCCTTGCTCTCTGCTCTGTCGGCCGGGCCGCGAGCATTTGGTTCGCTTGCTGCCCTTCGGGTGGCACCGCGCCCTCGTTCTTCTCGCGGAAGCGGGTGCAGGCTTCGCCCAAGATCAGAGTTCCCCGCGGGGTGGGGAACGTGGACCAGGTCGGCGGCGGGGCAGGCGGCGGGGCGTCTTCGGGCGAGCTATTGTCAATTGTCGATTGGGGACCCCGAGAACAGCGCTCCCGTTGCGTAGGGATTGCTGGCCAGGTCGACGGCGGGGCAGGCGGCGGTGCGTTTTCAGCGAGTGGAGAGTCACCAGGACGGAGCTCCCGCGGGGCGGGGACAGTGGGCCAGGCCTACGGCGGGGCGGGCGCCGGTCGGTTCCAGACGCGAAAGTGCGGGGGGGCTCCCGAGGAGAGAGCTTTGGGGGTGCCGGGGCGAGAAGGGGGGGGCGTCGGTCGGTTTTGGGCGCGAAATTGTGGGGCGGGGGATCCGAAGAGAGCTTCCGAGACGTGAGGGGCCCCGAGAACTGAGGTCGCACGGGGTGGAGGTGCCCGGATACCAGTGGAGAGGTCCGACGTGGGCGCCGTTATGATCGGAGTGGGTTCAACCATTGGACAGGGGCGGAGCGGGCAGGAACCTTGAGGCAGGGCTGGATGATGATCGGAGTGGTTTCGAACCTGGGCCAGAGACGGAGCGGGCAGGGGCCCTGGGACAGGGTCGGACGCGAGCAGGAGAAGCGCCGGGTAGGCAGCGCAAGCATGCACTTTCCCTCGCGCGCCTCTGGGGTCGGCGGATTCGTATGAAGGCCTTGCGAAAGTCCAAGAAGCAGCTTCGGAGCTTCTCAGCAGCTTCGGAGCTTCCACTATCACGTTGCATGCGCGCTGTCTGGTGCCTCTCAGAACTTTGCGAGGGGCCTGCCAGCAGCGCTTGATGCTCTTTTGAAAAGCAGACGCCAATGTAAGATCTCGCATCGGCCAACTGGCCGCGCGCAGGGGCCAGCAGGGCCGTCGCGTTGTCAACTGACCAACCGCCAACACATTTTTCCCATAAGCAACCAGCCATCTTGTCGTTGATGCCAGCGGGCTTGCCGCATGCTGTTTCAGCTTTCTCGCAGAAGCCAGCAGACGTCTCGCAAAGGCTGCGCGACTTGTCGTTGAAGCCTGAGCGCTCTTCTCATAGTGCCCGCTGTCGTATTCCACTCTGACCATGCAGCATGTGATTTTATAGTGGCACTGATGCCAGGATTGTTGCCCTCTCGGTCAAGGTTCGAACTATTCAGACAGTAGGTGTTGCATTGGGCACGTTGGAATTGCACCCACTATCAGGGTGACCTGTTGTTCTCGCGGCCACGGCCAAGCGCGGCTTCGAGGTGCGAGGTCCAAGGTTTGAGGTTCGTGGTTGGCTCGCGGCTGGCGGCGCGCGCCCCCGCGCTTGCTGCGCTGCTGGCTGCGCCGGTGCCTGGCGACCTCGACCGACTGCGCAGGAGTTGTCGCCCTTCACGGGCTCGCGGAGGGCGCGGGCGTCGCCGCGGCCGGCCTTGGCGCGCTCAAGTCTGCGCGACGTGAGGCCCGCCTGGGGGCTGGTGCAGCGCTGACAGGCGACGCGGTGGTGCTGGGCGACTTCGAGTGGAATGTGAAAGCCCCCGTCTTCGTGCCGATGGAGGTGGTCAGCGCGTGTTCTGCGGCTTACTGCGCGCCTGCGGCGCGGTGGTTTTCTCTTGCTGCGCGAGAGACGTCATTGGCGATGTGGCTCAGCGTGGGGGCCTCCTACCTCTCGGTTGCGCTTTTCTTCCTGCTGCGTGTGGTCGCGAGGCCCCTGCTGCCTTTCAACCCGGAGTGTGGCGTGGCTGGCGGGCGCGGTCAAGGTCGACATGGTGACCCAGTTCGATGACGCTTCTGTCAAGGTCAACATGCAGCCCGCCGAGGTGGAGAGCATGCCTGGCGACCTCGGCACGGTGACCGAGGACGCGCGTGGTTCCGGCGACGAAAGCAACGTGGCCTCTGATGGTGAGCTTGCTGATGAGCTTGGCGGAGCTGTTCATGATGATGTCAATCGCGTTGCCCTCGCCTCCGTGGGTGAGCCTGCTGGAAC